CATCTCCTAGGAAACCAGTTCCTACTCCTCTTCAGGAACAGAACCTTACAGCCTTCTTGTTTTTATGCGTTATAAAAAGATCGATGTCCAGAACACCCCAGGTAGGTGGCCTTTATGGACTACTCATGGGAGAGTGCGCTAGCCCTGCTCAATCTGTTGGCTTCCGTGTTTAAACTCCCAGGGAACTGGAGAGCTTGAATGGAAATATTGAGCTTCACTGCTGTGTCCAATGCAAGGGTAGCTTCCTGACCTAAACCTCTGGACCCTGTATCCCCTTGCTTGTTTAAATAAAACATTGTAACTGTATTGTCCGCCTGGACAAGAATGTATCAGTTCCAAAGGATATCTGGGAAAAAAAATGAGGGGACAACAAACTGCTCACAAGTCTAAAATGTTAGTGTGCAGCAGTTTCTCATCTTCTAACCAAGTACCCCAAGCTGGCAGTCCCTCGCAGTGGGTGCCCCGACCCAAGAGCAAAGCATCCATAGTAAGGACTACCCCATGTTCAGAAACTCTGAAGGAAATTCCCCGGGATAAATTATTTATAGAAGATCACGACAATAAAGAACGTATGACAGGTCTGGGAATAGAAAATCTGTGCCATAAAGCATGAACCCTGGCTTTATAACAGGATAGAAACCAGAGCTGCAGGGGTCGCATATGTAACCTAGCCATACGCAGGACTGCAGTGGTAGAAGCCATATATCCCAAAAGGTGCAGAATTTCCTGAATTGACTGGAACCGGTGAGATCTGAATTATCGCACCAAGGCCAAAATAGCCTGTAAACTTTCCCCACTAGGGAATCTAGCATAGCTCTGATAAATTGTACCCTCTGAGATGAAACTACTCATGATTTGTCCCAATTTACCAGGAGTTCTAGTCAAGTTTATTACGGTCATAGACCAGGAGTTCTAGTCTTTGAGAGCCTGTTTGATGCAGTGGTTAGGAGCGCAGACTGTAAGGGAGAACCAGGTTTGATACCCCAGTCTTCCGCATGTAGCTGCTGGTGTAACCTTGGGTCAGTTACAAGTTCTTTCAGAGCTGTCCTCTCAGGAGCAGTTCTTGAAGGAATTCTCTCAGACCCACCTACCTCACATGGTGTCTGTTGTGGGGAGGGGGAGGGAAAGGAGCCGCTCTGAGACTCCTTAGGGTAATGAAGGGTGGGGTATAAATCCAATCTCTTCTCTTCTTCTTATTTTTCCAGAACAAGAGTGCAATGACATAACAATTGATCCTTGGACTCCACCATTATCATCTAAGTAAGGGAATATGTGGCAAGTCCGCCTATGGAGGTAAGCAATAACTGGGACTAAATACTTAGAGAATACCCTGGGCACAGTGGCTAGCCCAAAAGGGTAGAACAGTGTACTGAAAAACTCGTTCCCCACATGAAAAGCATATGAACTTGCAATGCTGAGGGTGGATCGAAACATGAAAACAGACATCAATATCGATGAACCAACAATAAAATTTTAATACTGTAAAATCGAAGGAATGAACGCCATACAGAACTTTGAAACATGAAGACAAACGTTTAATTCTCTGAGATCTAAAATGGGTCTAACTCCCCCATCTTTCTTATCTACTAGGAATATATGAGAGAAGAAACCCTCCAATGCCTGAGATACTGTAACCTCCTCTATGGTGCCCTTGTCCATTAAGGAGGCCAAAGCTTCGACAAGACCCAAAGCTGCTTGGTTGGATCCCTTAAAGAGCAAGGGGAAACAAACTTAAATTCTAATCTGTAGACAAATCTAACTATGGACAAAACCCACTCATCAGAGGTACATAAGAACATAAGAGAAGCCAATGTTGGATCAGGCCAATGGCCCAATCCAGTCCAACACTCTGTGTCACACAGTGGCCAAAAATACCAGGTGCCATCAGCAGGTCCAGCAGTGGGGCCAGGACACTAGGAGCCCTCCCAATGTTGCCCCCCATCCCACCCCAGCACCAAGAATACAGAGCATCACATCACTTGCCCCAGACCGAGAGTTCCTACCTATACCTTGTGGCTAATAGCCACTGATGGACCTCTGCTCCATATGCGTATCCAATTCCCTCTTGAAGCCGTCCATGCTTGTAGCTGCCACCACCTCCTGTGGCACTGAATTCCACGTGTTAATCTCTCTTTGGGTGAAGAAGTACTTCCTTTTATCCATTCTAACCCGACTGCTCAGCAACTTCATTAAGTGCCCACGAGTTCTTGTATTGTGAGAAAGGGAGAAAAGGACTTCTTTCTCTACCTGCTCTATCCCATGCATAACCTTGTAATAGCCTCCCAGGCTGCAGCAAACTGAGCCAGCCTGTCTCCAAACTTAACAGGGGCTGGCAACGATCCTAGTCAAAGGGATGACTTTTGGGATGGCCATCGTGTATTTGGGGTTGGGGCTGAGATCACGGAACCATGGCCATTGGTTCCAGATTGGACTCATGCAGAGCCTGGCCATGTAGTAAGCCAGTATCCCTGTCCTCATCCAAGACAGAAACAGGTGGCGATCTCGGACCTCGAGATGGGGTCCTGGGATTCTTCTGCAAGGTTGGAATTGGCTCAGGAGTGCAGATGGGCGTGTTCTGCTGTGGAGCAGATTTACGCCTTTCCTTTGTCTCGTCTTTAGCCTTCTTAGCTGGAGGCTCAGAAGAGGCACGATGAACCTGAGGGGAGCGCGATTGAGATTGGATCTGCGAGGTGGAGCCGAACGTGTCAATTTCAAAGACATGGAATTGGGAGCTTTCCCCAGGGACAGTTTGGACGTGGACTCCGAGGCTTTAAGGGCCTTCTCCCACGACGCTGTCCTAAGTTCGACACCCTATCCCCCCCCCCGAGCTTTAGGAGCGAAACTTTGGCAGGCCTTACATGTGGAGACATTATGCCCTTCACCCAAATAGAACAGACAAAGACTGTGTTCATCACTTTGGGTCAATCTTCACTCCACACTGGGAGCACTTCATGAAAAGAGTTTTCTAAGCCAATGTAACTTCGACAAATCTGGACGAAATCCTCTCAACTGTAGCTGAAGACTCCAAAAACACAACCTTCTCCTTTGGTGGCAAAAGGGGAGCTGTGGGGAAGGGGGCACTTCTGCACAAGAGCACGTGGTCCCTGGGCGGGAAAAAGCTTTTGACTCCGGCGCGCAGCACCACCTGGAGACATTTAGCAGTAAAGACCTATCTGATGGCAGGTCTGCTCATGCACAGTCCCCATGTGGGACTGCACAGAAGATCAATGATGAATAAGCTGTTCTTCTGGCAGTTACAGTGATGCTGTACAAAAGACTAGAACTACTTCTCTTAAGATTTTCAAGCACCCTAAATATGGACCCTGTATATCTAGTATGGCAATTCCTATGTTCTTAACATAACCTCACCTTTTGGATCATTATGAGTTAGCAACTGGATGTCAAATTCTTTTGCAAAGGCAGTCAGATCTGGTGGCATCACACAACAGGAAGCAAGGTTCACTTGGTTACTGCTTGGCTTCACCTTAAAAAAAAAGAGCAAGCAGATTTCCTTCAGATAGCAAAGGGTACCATGGTATCTGTCTTAGATTGCATATAATTAACAGTGCAACCTTATGCAGAGCTACTCCAGTCTGAAATCAATGGGCTTGGACTGGAGTCACTTAGATTGCATATAATTAACAGTGCAACCTTATGCAGACCTACTCCAGTCCAACTCTACTGAAATCAATGGGCTTGGACTGGAGTCATTCTACATAGGGTTGCACTGTAAATGACCACACATTTGTGACAGGTGTATGTGGAGCTGCTTCATGATGACCGGGGGGCGGGGCTTATTTCACATCTCAAACATAGGTGCGCAATTAGCTACTCATCCCAGGTAGAGTGCCACCTCCCAACCTCTGCCACAATGGCTTGGTCTAGACATGTCTTCTTCTTTTTTTAACAAGTGCATGTGTGCACGCATGAGTGTGTGTGCACCTGGAAGTCAACGGCAACCTCTGGTGATTGACTCTGTGTGCATCTGAAAGTCATGGTGACCTCTAGTGACTGACCCCTACTGGGGGCATGGAGGATATTCAGAGAGGTGGCTGAATAAAGCCTGCCCCCGCCTCCCACCTCCGGTATTTCAAGGAGGTCTCCCATCCAAGTACTGGCCAGAGTCGACCCTGCTTAATGTCCAAGATCTGATGAGATCGGACTTGCCTGGGCTAACCAGGTCAGGGCTGGTTTAGGCGTAACATGTCTGATGTGCCATGGTTTCCAACATTAGCTTGTGGAAAACCAATGGCCTGCCCAGCAAACTATTGATTTGTTTATATCCTGTTTTTCTCCCCAATGGGGACACAGACTGACCTACATCATTCACCTCGGCTTCATTTTATCCTCACAAACACCCTGCGAGACAGTCAGGGCTGCAAAGGAGTGGCAGACCAAAGGCCACCTAGCCAGCTTCCACAGCAGAACAGGGATTCAAACCTGGGTATTTATTTACTTATTTCTTCACATTTATATTCCACCCTCCCTGCAAGCGGGCTCAGGGCAGATTACAACAGCAATTCCCAGATCCAGATTGGGCATTCTAAATAACGGTTCGCTGGAAAAGAGAAAGTGGGGGGGGGGACCACAAGCCCAAGCCACAGGCATAAGAAGCAAACAACAGCTTGGCATTATGAAAAAACAACTGAACCCATCCCTCCTGTGCCTCCTGATCAAATGAGCACTGAGGTACTGCTGTGGTCGCCTCTTTTCTGCTACAGCGCCATCGCTTTTTCCTAGCCGAAGTTCTCTCTCTAGTGGAAAACTGGCCATGGAAGGACACCCCTTTGGCACAGGAACTTCATGTCAATTTACATGCATACAAAGACTCAGGCAAATCTATTATATTTCAGAGCCAAAACAAAATGTGGCACAGAATGAAAATGTTTAATTCCACTGTTCTGTTTTTACAAGGCAAAACATACTTTCCGAATCCCCCTTTAAAATATCAATGCTTCAGCATTAAAACTATTTTTGAAAAGGCGTTTCACTAAATGTAGTTAGGAAGAAAACCAAAACCAAATAGTTGTTCTGGGACTATTGCTGTTAAAAGAGTTTGCCTCTTACCTGTGCCCACAAAAACAGCTGCTCCAACAGGGCTTTGTCTAGATCAGAAGTCCCTATGGCAACAATCTTTTTGTTTTGAACTATGTTTTCAAGTTCTGACCAGTAAGGCTGTAAATACTCTGGAAAGATTTATTCCGTCTTCAGTTGGAGGAGGAGCGATAATCACAGAATCTAACTGTTCTACCCCAAGGGCAGAACATGCTGGGGGGGAAAAAAGAAAGAAAGAGAGGTCTATGCTTGCTCAAGCAGAAAGAGAAAAAAGAATTTAAGGTTTTAGGAAACATGCACCCACTTGTCTCAGATCCACATACCCCATCCCTTGTATAAATGCTCAAGTTTGAGCATCCACACATCTTCCTCATATGGACTTTTATAAAAACAAGCAAAGCACGACAAATTATAACAAATAATTTCATAGCGTTATCCACAACTAAACAAAGGTATTAAACGGAAACGAAGTATGCTGAATGGGCAGGAAGAACTACCCAGTACAATCTTGTCTGAGGAGCTCAGAGAAGTGAACCTGACTCATTTGCCCGTCATATTATCCTCACAAGAATCCTGTGTGGTACCGTAGGCTAAGAGAGTGACTGCAGAAGGAGGATTTGAATCTAGCTTTCCCAAGTCCTAATCCAACACCAACCACTACACTACATCAGAGCTAGTAAAGATCTCAATGGTTTATGGACAGACAGTTTTGAGATCCAGGTAAAAAGTACTGAAGATACTCAGTCTGGTACAATGCCAACAGTTTCAGCTTTATTTAAAAAACTACAGCAATTACACAGGCTTCTGATCCACTCCCAAGCCCAATTCGTTGGTTTTGGCCTTTAAAGCCCTACATGTTTAGGGACCAGGGTACCTGAAGGACCGTCTTCTCCCACACATTCCTGCCCAATATCACAGGGAAGATGCCCTCCTGACTTTCCCATCAATGAAAGATGCTTGTTTGGCGGGCAAACGAGAGAGGCCCACACACGCTGGCAGGTCCACAGTTATGGAACAGCTCCCCCCTCCCCAAGGAGGCGTGCCTGGCCTCCTTGTCGCAGATCTTCAGCCCACAGTTATGGAACTGTGCCTGGCCTCCTTGTCGCAGATCTTCAGGAGGCAGACGAAGACAGTTTCATTTAGGACTGCATTTGACTGATTATCTTGGAGTTTTTAAACTTTTACTTTTTATGGGTTCGTAATTGCTGTTTCTATATTGTGTTTTTAAGAGTGTTTTTATAACGTCTTTCTTATTTACATTGTAAGCCACCTTGAGTTCGCAAGGGAGAAAGGCAACCAATAAATGTCTTAAATAAATAAATAAATAAAATGTTTGTAAACGACAGTTGCACTGCAAATTAAACTGCAAAGTCTGCTTTTTCTGTAGCTGACAGCACTGTGTTTAGTTCAGCAGATTCTAAGGCAGTACGTTTTACTACACCATCAGTTGTAAGACAATGATGAAAACAGATGAAGGATTTTGAAAATCTCATCTCAAAGAAAAACATACACTTTAAAGTCACAAGAGGCTTTGCTAAGAACTGCAAGGGAATATAACTCAAAAGCTGCTCAGGCTTCATTCTGGAACTTACTCATATTGACTGCTTCTCTGATTGATGATGAGTTTGATCCCGCAATAAACAGTTTTGCTGGAAAGGAAAAAACTAAAGTCAATAATGGAAGACAACATCTGCTGGCCAGCACAAATCCCAAAGCCATGTGATTCTGACAATTTAACAGCTGATACACCCTGCATATTCTGTCACTTTCACCTCATCCCCAACACACATTTCAAAGTGTTCAGGAAGCCACTTCTGCCTTCTAGCTAGTAAAGGGTTTTATATAAAGCTGCAATCCTATGCATGCTAGTTTGGGAATAAGCTCCATTAAACTGGATCAGGCTGTACAGCTACAAGTCATCTATTGCTTAAGTTTGAGGGTGGTTAAGATGAAATCGATGCATGCAGTTCTATAAACACTGGGAGATTACAAAGGAATTCAGCTCAACAAAACACGCTGGCTCAGGTCCTTTCAGTGAACAGCAATACCATTTTTATCTGAAATGAAAACATTTGCACTTAAGCCCGATGACAAGCAGCATGAGTTTTGCCTTAATCAGCCCATGCCTCTGATGACAGCCGTCAGATATTGTACAATAGGCAGACTCATTGATGGAAACTCTGAAGCTGATAGTCTCATCAGCCCAGCTAAAACACTTTGTTCACGACAGTTTAGTAAGTTGTTCAGGAAGTTGTGTAAGATTATTAGCTGCACCTTCAGCAAGAAGCCCCAGAGAAAATCCAGCTCAGTTTACTATTACATCTTTTAAACAGACACACACACACACAAATATATGTTATCTTCTCAAGGGTATGAGCGGATATGCTACCAATGCAAAGCACTGAGGTGGTCTCACTGTGATGGAAATGCCTTCCAGAATTAACTACACTTTCACATCTAAGAACTCAAGACCTGCCTTGCAGGAGGAGGTCAAAAGTTTATCTAGCTCAGCATCCTGTTTCTAACAAGAACTAGTCAAAGGCTTGTGAAAGGTCACAAGCAGGGAATGAAGGTGATTGGCCCTCCCCTGTTTGTCTCCTCTGATATGTTTTGAAGGTGGTTTCAGAAACTCTTGGGAAATAGTGGGCCTACAACATGATCAAGCAAATTGTGGGCTGGATTCAGATTAAACTGGCAATTTCCCCCTTCCCTCTGCAGACCCACCTGTCAAGAAACTGGCCTTGTTTAACCATTTCTTGGCCTTTCAAAATTTTGGTTCAGGCTTTTAGGCCCAGACAAGTTACTGAAGGCTCCTTTCTGGAAATTAATGTCACAATGACTTGCACTTTCCAGAGAGATAGGCGACAATGAGATGAGTCAGACACAGTGCAAGTGAGATTATTGGCCTGGGAACTTAAAGGCCAGAGACCAAGAGAGCGTTTCACATTCTCTCTCATTAGTGCAAGGAACCATGGGCATGGGGAAATTGCTTGATTGTGAATTCGTGTCAGCTGCAGAAATACATGGTCACATGTCTTATCAACATACCTGGATTGGCCAAACAGGATCAGGCCAGTTGTGGGCAGTCTGGCATAAATTAAGACCATTCATTCTAGTTTGGCACTTCTAACCATCTTTTTGACAGTAGGACTTATGCAGCTAGAACACTTGCTTCTGGGGTTTGGGACTTTGAAGAAGAAGAGTTGGATTTATACCCTGCCCTTCACTTGGGGGTCTCAGAGCGGCTTACAATCTCCTTCCCTTCCTCTTCTCACAACAGACACCTGTCAGCAAGCTGCCAATGGTCCTGATTGTTTCATTTATGTGGTAACCTGTATCCTGTACTCGGTGTATGCTCCGATCCTTTTTTCCCCACCTCCAAACCCATTAGTGCTGATCATTATGTTTGCTGTTTGCTTAGAGAATCATGCGCATGCCTAGACGCAAGAATGACATAGCTTGTTATTTGGAACGCTCTTTGCTTCAAGGTCACAGGTGGTGGAGAGGAGATTTCTACGCTTTTTTTTAATTAGGAGAAACTGTGTGAAATGCTTTTAGTGATAACGATGGGCCGTTGCTTTCCCAAGGAATGGGCGCGTAAAACTGCTCCTTGTATCAGAGCGGGAATTATAACCATTGGCCAGGCCTATTATGAATTTCCTTTATACTACCCAGCTTTGTAGGCTAACGTTATTCCAAACGGAGACCTATTCAGTGACTCATGGCTTCAATAAAATAACCTTTTTCCTGAAAGTGACTCCGTTGATTCCTGTGAGACCTGACAACACCCTGTGAGGTAGGTGGGGCTGAGAGAGCTCTGAGAGAACTGCTCTGGAGAGAACTGTGACAAGGCCACCCAGCTGGTTGCATGTGGAGGAGAGGGGAATCAAACCTGGTTCTCCGGATTAGAGTACGCTGCTCTTAACCACTACACCAAACTGGCTCTCAGAACTTCAGAGTTCTTTCTGGACTCTGTACCTTAGTCTGTACCATCTGGGTCAGAAGACTACAGCCTGAATAAGTAATCAAAAAATTATGATTCCCCCCCCCCATGCTTTGCACTGCTTTTGTATTTGTATCCCTTTCCACATTTCTCTTACATAAACCTTATTAATTATATTCCTGTGGCAATATTTGGGCAAAAATTGGTTTCAGTCCATGAACTATTTACAAAGGCAGCATTTTAAGCTATACAAACTCATCAACCCGATAACCGAGTCATAACAGCTAGTTTTTACATCAGACATGCTTGGGCCTTTCAGTTATTCTGCACAAGTTGTGTTATGTTGATTTTCGTTTAGTTTTGTCAAATCCATTCAACATTTTTCATAAAGCCTCAGAGAATGATGCTTTTCCAAATCAAAGACACTTGATACTTAGGTCAGGCATTGCTCCCTCACATCTCTTGTGCCGAGCACACAACTAAATTTACCTGAAACTTTCAACTCTTCCCTTTCTTCAGGGTTGATCTTTTCTATTGCTTGAGCCAGAGTACATTCAAGGATATCGGGCATTTCCTGCAAATAAATGCATGGCAGTAAAGGGAAGCTCAGTGGTACTAGAAAACAGCCTGTTTTTAAAATGTATCAGTTAAAAAACAAAGAGAGATAAAGCAGTTTTTAGTTTCACAGAGGTTATGTTTTCACTTATTCAAATACAGTGCTGTCAGATCTGAAATAGCTAAGAACTCCATGGAGCAGTTTACTCAGCTAGGAAAAATGCAGACCTTATTTAGTGTTTGTAGCCAAACTGATATAAAATGAGAGTTTAAGGCACAATCTAACCAGAACTGCAGGGGGGAAAAACTCAAGTCAAAAGACCTTTTTTAAAAGTCAAAGGTCACACGGGCCAGAAAATGCAGGGGGGAAGCATGGCTGCTTGCCCCGGAGCAAAGTAATGCGCGGCAGCCCGATCACATGTCCCGTTGAGGTTCTGTGGTTAGGCCGTTAGGTGCCGATCACATGGCTATCCTGCAGCGCGGCAAAGAAGCGGCGCGATCACACCGGCAATCGCTAGGCGCCGCTTCCGTGGCAAACGGGAAAGTTTGCGCATGCGCACGATTGTTTGTGTGCATCCTGTGGAGACTTACAAAAAAAACCCCATTCGGTGTGTGACGGGACATGGACGGGCGCTGGATGCCACGGGATTCAAGTGGAAACGCGATAAGACGCCCGCCCTTGCCCTGTGTTTTCTGGAAACTAGTACATCGTATGTGGTAGTTCTTTACTCCGCATCTTCGGCGAGAAGCCACGGGTGTACTATGCTTCCCAGATGTTGCGGTGTGATCCGAAAATCCGCCTATCATCCGAGTCTTTAGCACAGCAACTTCTCCGTGTGAACGGGACCAAAATCAAATGCTGCTTGAAACTAGTTCCTCCCTTGCCCAACGGTGCTGTATCCTCTACCTCCAGCAGGAGAAGTGAACAAGGTTACCTTCAGCGGGGTGCTCAAGAGGAAACTGGAGCAACCACTTCCCTTCTCAGGCACACAGTAGTGGACCCCACTGCTCACTTTCCCGAGCAGAAAGCCACTGCACTGGGCAAAGAAAGGAACAAGAGTGAAGGGCCAAGATGGACAGGCATTTGAGTTTCTGGTGTGCTTGCCTGTTAAAAACAAAAGTTGGCTTGCCTACAAAGTCATGACAACAATGGAAACAGACATCTTAAATATTCTACATTTTTATTTAAAACAAAAAACCATGGGAATGACTGAGTTCCACCCATCAGTTTGAATGAGCATTGACATGCTTTCAAACACTACTGAGAAGAGTTGCCACATTCAGGTCTCAAGCTGGGCTCTTTCTGAGGACATGTAACATTGTAGTTGTCGCTGCCTGAAAGATGGTCTGTTTGAAGGCAGAGTATCTTGTTTACCTCAGTCTTGGGGAACACTAGATGAAGACAGAGAGTAGAACTGCATGTAGAGCACAGGAGGAAAGGCACCCCCCCCCCCAGCATGTATTCTCCCAAACCAGACCTTGATCTGAATTGTGAATCTTTGCATTCACCTGAACTATTCACAAAAGACACCATTTGTAAGGTCCTGCATCTCTAAGGAGCAGTTTATATTCATTCATTCTGATTTTGCAGGTGTGGCAGCCCTTTTTCAGACCATTGTGATCATGCAAATACTGGCAACCATACAGCTCCCACTGCAAGGAACAAGTTCGTACAAAATATGCCTTTGTATAAGTGTGGTGCAGTTGCAAGCCTGACAAATCCCTGTATGTTCTCAATAAGCAAAAGTGGTCACCAGCCCAAGGGTAACGCATCCCCAGGTCTGACTGCATCTTGCACTTCTTCCTTGCTGTGAAGCAACAGGCAAATCCTCAAGACACGCAGATACAACCTGACATTACATTATCCTTGTGGACTCTCAGTGATATGCAGTAAACCTTTTCAGTGGTATGTCATAACAACTTAGATTTGTCCCAACAAGTATCACTGAGTGATCCTTCCACAAAAAGAAGCTATGCTGAAGCCAGCTAAGTCTGAGAAATTCAAATAGGTTAAGCTCCTTTCCAGTAAATCATTTCATAAAGTTTGCCAGAGGGAATTCCAATATTAGTTAATATATTTGAGAGAGAATAGGATCGCTTACCTGCATTAGATCAGGGCTGATCTTTGAACTCCATTCATTTAAGGTTTTCTTAATGCAATCCCGCAGCTGTAAAGAAACATTTTAATTTTTAGCACCACTTTGGTTACTGTTATACAATACATTTTTGATAGAGCCATAATTTCAAACAGCAGCTTGTATCCTCCCACTCCGCTCAAGAAAATCCAAAGCCTTCCTCCACCTGAAGGAGACTTCCTTCAACTTAAGTGTCTGCTCCACAGGTGGAAACAGCTGCTTGTTGGAAGAAGGCTCCTTAGGCTGGAGGAAGGCCACACAACTTCACGCTACAGTATCTGAGAGGTGTAGGTGGTTGCTAACAGAGGACCAACAATGCACTTTATTGTGTGAAACAACATATTTTTTTAAAAAACACAAATATAAATGCAGATATGCAACCAGTGTTCCCTCTAAGCTGAGTTAGTGTGAGCTAGCTCACAGTTTTTTAGCCTCCAGCTCACACATTTTTGTCTTAGCTCAGGAAGGATGGCTCCAGAGCAAACTAACTTATGCAGTAGCCAAATTGCTCATTCACAACTTTAATGCCAGTAGCTCACAAAGTAGAATTTTTGCTCACAAGACTCCACAGCTTAGAAGGAGCATTGCATGCAACAGTGAACTTTGTAAACATTCTTCATTCTCCCTATTAGAAAAGAGGGAATCCATTGCTCATTTCCTCCACAAAATCCCAAGAGGCATGCTGTCTGTCACTGGGCACAGGTGATAGCAGATGAAGCCTCAGAGATCCTGTAGGCAGACTCTAGAAAGCACTAAAAAAAGGTGGTACCATTGAGAAGCTGGGGCACAACTGAGACATTGAGACTGCGGCTGTTGTTACATGGATACAAGAGGAGAGAAGTCGCTCACTGGGCATTAGTAACTGGTGCTACAGAAGTTGCTGACAACAGCCAAAATCTCAGTGTATCTCAATGGTGCTGTTGTAGCACTGAGGTGCTATACTGGTAGCACTCAAATTAGAATGTTCGTGGGGGGAAAGTCCAAGGAAGAGTGCAGCGAAAAAGGGTGGAGAAAAAAGTGAGGCATTGTTTGAAATGGCCAGATCGTTTCAGAGACACCTCATTAACAGAATGAAATTCACTGTATGAAACCTCCGTTCTTATATCGCCTTACTCGGAAACAGGCCAACAACGGATAACATCCAGTTTAGAAAAGTAATGTGAAAGGGGCCATATATTCTTCGGTTTCTGATCCTTGAAGACGTTCATCTCTTTAACCCAGTTGAGATGGATTTCCTGGGGCCTAGCAGCCACCCCAAAGGAATTTTCCCTCTTCTCATAATAACATTTCCCACCTACTCCACCTCACCAGGATTCCTACTGGGAAATTAAAAACAGAAAATAAGTTAAAGGGGATAGGATCTGGGCCGAAGTATAAGGCCTAGATTGATAATTGAGGTGCAACTGACAGGTACAAGATGGTTTCTTTTTAAAAGTGAACAAGAACAAAGTATCTCAGGGGAAAACCCACAACTGAGATAAATATTAACACTTAACAGGAGTTATCAGAAGTTAGGTTTTACACAACACTTTCCTCAGGAATACATACTCTCAGGCAGGTTTATAACATGTCAACACAACTTTCTGTTGCAACTAAGTTACACGAGAAGAAACAAGGAGGGGAACAAAAACTTAACCCAAAAATAATGAAATAAGAACCAAAAATGTTCATTGGATACAAAATAAGGGGGCCAGTTTTAATTTCAAGAGGTATAAAACATCAATGTATAAATAATGCAAATTATTTAAAAACTGCATGTATTTATTACAAACTGGTTTAAAAACAATTATAGGCCCAAATATAGCCTCAACAAGAATACAATTCATAGAATATTTCAAAATTAGAGTTGAATAAAGTCCTAATTTTGAAATATTGTATGAATTGTATTCTTACTGAGGCTGTATTTGGGCCTATAATTGTTTTTAAACCAGTTTGTAATAAATACATGTATTTTTGTATAATTTGTATATATATTCATATTTTATACTTATTGAAATTAATAATGGGACCCTTATTTTGTATCCAATTAACCTTTTGGGTTCTTAATGCAACCAAGTTATACACCAGATCCAGCAGAACACTGCTGGCCAACTTTTACACCTCAGTACTCAATTCTCTCAACAAGGAAACTTAGTCAAAGATACGATATCTCCTTGGAGTTGTACTTCATATTCTTGTTAGACTAACCCCCAAAACCTAACTCCTAACTTTACATTTTTAAAACTTATCTACTTCTTCTGTCTTACAACCTCCTCCTGTCAGGTCTTAACCTTCCTCAGTACAGCTCCTCTTGGCTAATTCAGAACACTGCTTCTTGTAACTGCTGTGTTTCTGAGGTATACTTCTGTGCTCTACTTGCCACAAAAGGATAGACTGATTCCAGTCTTGTTAAAAAAGACGACTCACAACAGATCACACTAGATATCTGGTGGCCCATCAATATGTTTTAAATTTACAAAGCAAGAGTGAATACTCAGCATCTCTTAACAACCACAACATAATTAATATGCATTAAGTGATCCTGACTCTTCCTTAAGAAAGTATGTACCACCTTGATGAAACAGAACAAGGTCTACCAATCCAACACATTTTATATGAATTCCAGCAACTGCTGGGTGGGCCATTGGAAACTGGCCATTAGTGGACCACTGTCTGTCTGCATTCTGACCACTTTCATGTTAACTTGTGTGAAAATTCTTGGTAGGCATTCACTTGGGAGTAGTAAGTTACTTGCCTCTCGGTGGGCCCCTTTTAACTGAAGGCAATGAGGAAGTGTCAAATGTTTCAACTTCCTGCTCAGCATCACAGTAATCAGCACTGGGGACAATTTGATCTTGAGGTGAGATCAATTAATTTTCTTTGCAAAAGGTACAGGGTAGCTTTGGCCTCAGACCTCATAGGACAGAGAAGGGAACTCCATCACCTGATCTTGCAGCTGATCATGAAGCAACTACTTATAAATGCTACTAATTCATCATTACTAATGCTTAAAATTTTAAATGTTAGGTCGATCAAGTGAAGATGTACATAACACTGTAGAACAATAACTAATAGGGAGGGTAAACCTTAAGCACATTCATGGCATTTGTTCATTTTAAGGCTTTTTGATTGTAATAGGGAATGAGTATGAAAGCAATTAAGTTGGGTTTTTTTCTTTCTAGAAGGCAGTGGTACCATCTGATTATTAAATCTAATCACTTTTAGAACCTCAAAAGGGCATATTTTTTATTGAAGTTCTGGTAATATGCACAGGAGTTTACACTTCATCAGTTAACTTATTAGGGAACAGATGTTTACCAACCCAAAACTGGCTGGCAATCCTAATTCAACGGATTCCCAGGCGGTGCTGGAGAAGGGCAATATATCAGCCTGTTTAGTATAAAATATGCACCTATAGAAGTGGCTGCACATTATTAAGAACATAAGAGAAGCCAATGTTGGATCAGGCCAACAGCCCATCCAGTCCAACACTCTGTCACACAGTGGCCAAAAATACCAGGTGCCATCAGGAGGTCCAGCAGTGGGGACAGGACACTAGGAGCCCTCCCAATGTTGCCCCCCCCCCAAGAATAATTGTAGTTTGTTCTTTTAACTATAAAAATCCTTTAAGGCTAGGTTTGAATGGTTTTCAAAACTCTTACTACTGAAGAATGCCCCTCAACTTTGGATTCTGGGACATGCTCTATGGTACACCATCAGATCGTATTGGGCGCTGACCAAGTCAGTTGGCACGTGATCACTCTGCTTGAGCTCATGTGCCCTAAAACACATCCTATACCACCAGGGTAATATGACAGACCCGTCTCTTTTTTAACACCTAGGAAGAATTTTCCCACCAAAAATATTTTAGCTCCCCTCAGTAACTGAGTTGCCCTCCAGCAGCGTGTATTTCCTCGTTATTTTATTTTATAAGCTTTAACTGTCCCACCCCGTCACAGATACTAGTTATGACCCAGAACGGGAACTAGAGGGAATACAGAAGCTGTCTTTCTTTAAGATACCCTCATGAAATGGCACGTGAGGCAAAATTAACTTTCAAAAAAGAATAAAGATTTAAATACAGGAGAGAAGAAAACTGGTAGCAGTGGGCAAGCCATCTACCATTCCTGCCCTTCTCACTAACAAATTCAAGATACATTTAAAGGGAACCCCCAAGTTCACTGGATTGCAGCCTGAAAACTGCTGTGTTGGAAACAAGATACTTGGTTACATGACTGCAAAAAAGTTTTGAAAGCAGAAACTTGTGCTTCTGGTAAGTGTGGCACAGGGCGCGGCTGGGTGAACATGTTTTACACATGTCAGGAAAACGATGGGATAGGTCGCTCCAGGGAAAGACTATAGCCAGGCTTTGTTAACAAATATGTATTCTTTAACCTCATCAACAATGTTAAGCTCATCCTTGAAGGCCTCATTCACTCATGATGACAAGTCTGAAGTGGAATGTGTGAGAACACAAAGTTACATAAATGCTGTTCTACTGTGAGCAGCATTACAACTTGGATCCCATGTGAAAGTTCCACAGATGGAGGGGGTGATCTTTCATAATTCCCACCTCACGTGGCAGACCTCTGACCCCCCCCCCCCACACACAGCTATTCCATGGGGGGGGCACATTCCCCAGCAAAAGCACGGAGAGCAGATTCTGGGCTGCAGCAGTAGGTGGAGAAGTCATTTTCTTTAGGGTGGAAGTCCTTCCATCTGTGGAAATTTTATGTGGGATCAAAATCATTATGTATATTTCACAGATATTCTCTAGAAATTCTGGAAACATGCTATGCTCACTACCTTCTATTGAAGCAAGCACTCAGTATAAAGAAAGATGGAGACTGGGGAGGAGGTGCAGGTGGGACAAGGAAATGGAAGTATGACCTTTTCTTCTCTTTTATCATACTGTCTTATGATTTTTTAAAATACCTTCATTTATGAATAGCTTCTCTTGTCATAAATCCTTTGTTTGGGGATATTTTGGGTATATGTATTTGTGGTGAGCTACGCTTGCAATAACAAATTATGATATAAGAAGCCATTCTCCAACATGTCAGTTGTAAAGGAACACCTGTCTTCCTTTTGCACTGAACCTTTTTTAGTTACTTTTCAAGCAGGCTACTGAATAGCTGCCAAACATAACTTCACTGGCATTTAGGAATGGCAAGGAGCCAAACAGGTGCAGAACAAGGGGCCCCAATCCTCATGGCCTATGATCTAAAGCTAGGCAAGTTAGTGAAAAGTATGAACTGATCCTCATCTTTAATATATATTTTCTTCTTTTTTGTTGGTCTATGGCAGTCCCACCCAATCATGTTATTATATATTTAGATGCTGACCCAGCCAAGGGAACTGAGAGAAGAGACAAAATCACCTTCTTAACTTATACTTCTGAAATGGCACACGAGAGGCTTTTGAAAGTTCAAAATAAACAAAATATTTTATTTAACATGGAAGGGGAAAGGTCAGGCGGAATTAGGGGTGGGATGTATGAGGTGAATAGATGATAATAACTGAGGTAACTTTGGAATTACACTAAATTGAAGATAATTTGTTGCCAACAAGTAGGTATTTTTGCTTTTCAACAAGGTCCTTGAAGCTTTGAGGAGAAAGGCTTCCTTTTCAGTGCTGGCTTAAACATTCAAGTACAGGTTCCTGAGTTTCACTGACTCTTCAAGTTTTAGAATGCAGGAACACACAACAGAGTTCCCAGAATCCTTGCATAAATGTAAACCAGGGATCACTCCTCTCTTTAGAGTTACCTCCCTTTTCACTGGGCAGGGATTACTTCTCTAGATTAGAAGCTCTGTACCTTTTCACCTTGAATGGGGATCTTCCATGATCCTCCCACTCCTCTTTTGCCTCCTTCCCAGTCCACAGTCAGTACTAAACTGTAACTTCTTCAGCTGCCAGTTCCCAACTGTCACTTCTTTTGAACAGCCTGTCACTCAAAGGTTCTCAGTCTCTGTGAGGCATTTTCCCTTGACAGTCCGTCACAGCGCTGTTTACCCGAAGGATTAGCCTTCTCATTTTCTGAGTCCCACAAAACTAGCTGAGATATTGCTGCATACCAAAAGTGATTCTAGACCAGAAAAAAGTGTGATGAGCTCCATCACCTCCTGACCTTCAGGCACTCTATTAAAATCATTCTTTTTCTAATGGCTTTTGGGGAATTTTGTCATCTGCTGGTGGTTTCTTTCACTGTTTGGACTGCTGAGAATCTTAGGAAAAGGATTTTCATGAATATATTGTATTGCTGGGTAAGGACTGTGATTACTGTGTTCATCTGGTTGTTATAGACTTCATTTGCTATTTGTTTTTTATTGGTAGCCATTTTGTGGGTTAAAAAAACCCAGATCACACACACTACATTATGAGTGGTAGGTGTGACAACTTTATTTTTTATCACAACACTAAATCAGCATACCTGGCAAGCAGCAGCTGCAGTCATACTTGTGAAAGATTTTAGGAAAGACAGCTCTCTGTGTGGCAGCTACATGTATAGTTAGCAAAATCCTAATATCTAAAATGAGGATAACGACTTTAGATTATTATAGCTGTACCTGTTACCAAGTGTTATATTACAGTATTTTGCTTTATTGGGTACAAGAAAGAAGCTACTTCCTTGCAATGTGCACTCGAGCAGCCTTTAGAGATATTTCATTAGTCATGAGAAAATGATTAGAATTAAATGGATTTTACTGTGCCGTTTTTAAGAGAAGGCTTAATCTATGATCTGCAGCATAGTGCCGTAACTGTTCACTACCTGCCCATCAGGCCTGGAGATGTAATACAAGCTTATGCTGTAATTAAAACAAGATTCCACACTGCAATTACAAGAAGGGTGAGGCAAGCAAACACTGTACATACACGCTGTGGCACCGTGCTAGACACTCAAATATCAATGCTGAACAGCATTGGGGGTGATAACAAGGCATATTCCCAGCATAAATCTTTATAACTTTTCACTTCTGCCTCATCGCTTGAACAAACATCTCTAAGGCATGTCTTCTTGACAAGCTTTCAGCAAGTCTGCTGATCAAACTTTCAGCACTGCTACCTTAACTTGCTGACCATGAAATCATAATTGGGACAGTTGTACAAAAAAACCTGATTTTGATGGCTGTTCTTAACAGATAAGGAGGAAAATATAATGGTAAAAGTAACAAAACAATTATGTTATGATTATCCTGTAACTTTGCCATCTCCTTTGATGTTAGTTCTCTTTTGCAGTTTGCAAAAAACAGTGCTATGCCATCTATTTTTAAAAAGGTGAAATATACAGAATTTACAGTGACTTCTAGTCAATAACCTTACTCCATGGTGGCTTTTGAAAAATTGTTAAGAAAGAATGAGGGGCATAAACTGATGACAAAATATAAGAAAAATGGCAGCTTTCTTTCCAAAGGACAAATCATGAGGGAAGTATTATACAACAATAGAAAAAAATCCTTTGAAGTAGTAAAACCAGGGCTCTAGTCGGGGGGGAGCTCTCAGGTACGGAGCTCCGGAAGAGAACCTCTAGGGGGCGGGGCAGTCACGTGGTGAAGCCCCGCCCCCTTCTTTACCCCGCCCTCTGCTTCGATCCTCATTCCGTTTGGGAATGAGGATGAAGCAGGAGGGTAAGTAGCCGGGCCTTCTGACACACTTCCGGTGATGTCAGGGTGTGTGGCCTTCTGTCACTTCCGGTGATGTCAGGGGGCGTGGCATATGCAAATAAGTTATGCTAATGAGTTATGCTAATGAGCTCCGGCAGCTCTTTTTCTACAACAAGACCCCTGAGTAAAACTATAACTGATCTCAGGTTCCAGCCTTCATCTGAACCTCCCCAAAGTGGTAATAATTTCCAGAGAATAAGCATGTAAGCTTGCTGGAGCAAAAATAAACAGGATTTGTTGTGAATTAGTCACTTTGGTCTGCAAAATACCAATTTAAAGACACATCCATTCACATACACTCTATTTTAGAGGGAAATAACCTTGCAGTTGATTTCCAAAGCGTCTACCCTTAACAGTTGTAATAAACATTTTATTACAGCCTCTCGGACTTTCCACCTCATTCTTATGGCACTACTGTAATTCAAGTAGACCACACTACGGGGTTTTTGAAACGGAAAAAAAAGACAGTGTTTAATTCCATAAACAAACTTGGGAGAAACTTCACACCACATCATGAGTTTGCGATATAACAGACAAAAAAAAAATTACTGGCAACCCCCACCGCAGTCATTATGAGGACGAAATCTGCCATCTGGCCACACTAAACTAAGTTTTACGAGGAGGAGGAGGACAGGGAAAGCAGAGGAGTGTCTGACCGCACACGGCTCTTCACTTTGAGGCTCACGCCTGAGAGCCAACCTACAGCCAAGTGTGGCCGATGCGTTCCCTCTCCCTCCTCGCGTCTAGGGACAGCAGGAAAAAGCGATGGGAGAGGTGAATGGACGGAAGGACCTCCCGGGCTCACCTCTTCGCTGGGGGCCGCCGGGCACTTCTTCCGCAGGCGGCCCCAGTTGAGCAGGTTGCCCGTCTGCAAGTTGAGGACGCCCGCTTGTCCCAGCAGGACGCCGGCGCTGCCGCTCTCGGTCCCCATGCAGGAGCCCGGTGCTCGGCGGCTTAGTGGCGGCTGCTCCCGGAAGGCTCGATGCGAGCAGGCGACGGCTCCGGGGCTGAAAAGACTACTGGCGGCGGGCGGCTCGCCGGGACTCTCTTCGACGGCGGCGGCGGCGATGACTAAGCAAAAAACAAAAGTGCTTTGTCACAGTTCGGGGTCACATGGCGCGAGGGACAGTAGGCGAAGGGCCAATACAAGAGCGTGCGGGAGAGGGGGAGAGAAGCGGGCGCTCAGCGGGGAGGCGGAGATGCAGGGCGCTCTCTCGGTCGGAGGAAGCGAGACAAGGCACACACACACACCCCTCCACTCCCCCCCGCCGCCCCCCCTCCCCCCCCCCGTCAAGTACTTGAGCCGTCCGCCCCGCCGAAAGTAAATCGACGTCGTGTATTTTTTATTCTAGTGCCATAAACTTCCGTGATTAGAGACGGGACACATTTGGAACGCACAACTCAGTTCTCACATCAAAGATCATTCCCTGGCCACGGGCAGGCGGGACTCCACCTTTGCGGGGCTTGGAGCAAACTTCTCGCAGTACCAGCCCATAATACAATCTAATGAGTCATGAAAGGAAAACAAACGTGAAAGGACGTCCATAAGCCGTGTGGTGGTGATAGGGCTTGAAGGCTGCACTGCTCTCCTGCCTCACGATCCTCTCTCCACTTCTACGGTGTTTCCCCGAAAATAAGACACTGTCTTATATTTATTTTTTCTCAAGAAGACACACTACAGCTTATACCACAAATGCATAGAAATCCTGCTAGGGCTTATTTTGGGGGTAGGTCTTATTTTCGGGGAAACGGTATGCTTCAGACTTGTCTGTATGTGTGTTGCTTGACCTCGATGCCGTCTATTTTTATATGGTGTTCTCATGTAAAAGCCAGTAGGAAGTTGGGTCCTTTAACTGAAGATCTAGTAGTAAAATGGAATTCTCCTACAACAGGCAATTTGCAGTTCAAAATATACTTCACCAGCTGCAGTGTGTGAATTGGCAGGCTATGCACAAATTGATGAGAAATTATGGTTCATTCAAAAGGTAACCGGAATAACAGACAAGTTTGGCGGTGAGAAGTTATGCTTCATTCATGGGCAGGTATCCACACTACAGACAATGCATCAGCTCCTACTCCAAATCTCAAGATCTGAGGGACCAAAGAGTTTGGACACTGATCATTCCCAGCAGGCCTTTTCCTTCATGTCTCAGTCAATAATATCGGGTTCTTATCTCCTACACATGCTAAGTCACTGAGTTCTCACTTGTACCCAGAATTAAATTGTGTTATTCTTAAAGGTGCCACTGGACACAAACTCAGTTCTCACATCTGTTGTTAACTCTTCTGTATGTCAATTTGCTGCTATCCACAGGTCTTGCCAAATGTATTATTCCAATCTTAGCTGTATGTATTGATCAGTTACTTATGCATCCTGACTCTAACTAGCCCTTCCTGGGAACTAACCTCCCTCGTACCTATATGTAATGGATGAGGAAGTTTTGTTTCACTGACTGAGGAAGTGTGCATGCACACAAAAGATTATACCTTGAATAACACTTTGTTGGTCTTAAAGGTATCACTGGATTCAAATTTTGTTCTGCCACTTCAGACCAACATGGCTACCCACCTGAATCCCAAGGCCTGTTTTCCCCGCAGTCTCAGCAAGTTCAGATCCTATTAGCATATACTTGACGTTGAGATTTTTTTGTTCTAATGTACATCACTTTACACTTACCATCACTGAACTTCATTTGCCACATTGTTGGACACACCAATTTGTGGAGATCCTCTTGGAGGTCTTCATAGTTGGCCTTGGTTTTCATTATCCTGAATAATTTTGTGTCATCTGCAAACCTGGCCACTACACTGCTTACCCTCAGTTCCAGATCATTGATGAACAAATTAAATTGCAGTGGCCCTAATACCGATACTTATGGGGCCCCAGTGTTTACTTTTCTCCACTGTGAGAACTATCCATTTATTCTTACTGTTTGCTTCCTGTTGTCTAACCAGTTTCTTATCCATAAGGGGACTTGATGCCATGACTGCTAAGTTTATTTAGGAGTCTTTGGTGAGGTACTTTGTCAAAAGCCTTTTGAAAGCTCAGGTATATAATGTTTACTGGGTCATATACCCCCTACACTCTCTCAGCCGCTTTATCCTAAAAAAAACCCAACATGCAGAGACAAGATAAGCCATGGAAACATGTTTTCCCCCCTTAAGCATTCAGAAGAGTTCTGTGAAACTCAAAGGTTGCATCCTGCATTGTAAACACTAGCTGTTCCAAAGCAGTGGGTATTGCCTCATCACTAGCTCTTTATTTCTTGGGGCATTGACACACTGAATATCACTAAAGATCAGAACATTGCCTATCTGAAAAATGAAATATGACTCTAATTTTCCTTTTCTTCTGGAAATGATCCTTCCAAATATTAAATTATCTAAGATGCTAAGCCACAATATATTAATGACTATAATAAAGAAGACATCAAATACGTGAGGGAAAGGGGAAGTTATATAACATATTGTACAAAATGCAAAATACTGATTTCTAAATCAAATCTAATGTGTTTCTAACCCATATTCGGAAAAGCAAATCCTCCTTTTGTGTGTATTCTATGCAAATAATGCCTTCTAGTACTTGGAATCTGCTGCTGCAAGCTTATGTTCATCACTGTCTATTGGTCTCCAATAATGGTTAACAAAACCTTGGCAGCATCCCAGTGGGCTGCAGTGGGAAGGGAGAGAATGATACAAACAGAGCTCAACATAGTTAGAGGCTTAAATTTTATTCTGATCATGCACCAAATCTGGCTTGCATCAATACTAAGCAGCTTCCCATTGACCACGAGGTATTTAATCACATTATCCTTCAAGACCATGATGACCAACAGGGATGACCATAAATGAGATTTGTTCGTTCATGATCTGAAGAGCTGAAATGTGAACGTCACTTCAGTCATTAAATCTAATCCAAGCAGACCCTCAAAATGCAAGTTACAGATGCAGAGTGCAAATCTATGCCACACAGCTTGCTTTTTAAGAAGTGATTGCCTCCTCCTATATAAGCCTCCCCATATAGTGAGGCCCTGTTCGATATAATTGCTTCCTGGAATTGAAAGGGACTACCATTACTGGGCCAGGGCTTTTCAGCGGTGGCACCCCACTTACACAAGGCTCATGAGGCTCCCTCTATCTGATATTTATTTACTATATCAGTTAAAAACAGACAAGCAACTGTTAAAACTGTACCACACTATAAAATAACAGCAAAACGAGAGTAGGAAAACAAGTGAAAGAAGGAAAACAAATATCATACCTCCTGCAAAAGGGCTAGGAACATAAGAACATCTTCAGCTAGTGCTTAAAGCTCAAATTGGAAGACGCCAGGCAAACAGTTGGGGGGAGAAACTTACACAAACGGGATGACACCATTGAGAATTTAGGGGAAGGGCTGTGGCTCAGTGGTAGAGCATCTGCTTGGCATGCAGAAGATCTCCAGCTCAACCCCTGGCATCACTAATTCCACCTGAAACCCTGGAGAACCACTGCCAGTCTAAGTAGGCAATACTGACCTTGATGGCCCAGTGCTCTGATTCAGTATAAGGCAGTTTCACATGAGAAGACAGTGTTCCCTAACAGTTACCTACCTGAATTCAGTAGAGAGTACAAAGAGCTGGGCCTCTGCCAAAGACCTTAATAACTGGACAGGTGTGACAGATTGCACAGAAAAGCAGGCTTTTAAAAATGCTGCGAAAGTCAGGGAGTTAGAGTTAATCTTCTCTAGAGAGAAGAGCTTATATGTTTGGCTGCTCTACTCACTCTCTGATTGGCCAGCATCAGCTGAGAGAGGAAATAAAACAGCTGATCTGGAGAGAAAAGATTCATTGGCCTTTGTCTGAATCAGCAGCCAAAGAGTTTGGCTTTTGAGGGAAGAGACTTTGGGAGTCAGTGATTTTTGTCAGGGAATTGTCAGAAAATTACTTCTATAGAGAGAAGAATAAGGACCCCATTGCCTTACATATATTAGAACTACTCTGGGGGAGGATTTAGATTCTCAGGCAAAAAAGTTACAGAACAGCTTTATACAGACAATGGATCCTGGAGAATGATTTGGCAGAAGGTCTGGGTAGTTAGACAGAACTCCCATACAAGTCAAATAGTAATATGAGTTATTGCTTCTTAGGGACAAGGAGACTAACTTCCTGCCAGTGAAAGGGGTTAGGAAGAGAACCCTAGTCTGTGATAAAGGGGAGACGCCTAGACACCTCAAGAGTTAGTGAAAAACTATAATAAGGGAAAACCTAGCTCTCTGAAGGGAGAACCCTAGAAGCACTAAGACAAAGCTATTCTCTAAGAAATTGTATTCAAGATTCTGTGTAACAGCTGAAATATATAATAAGCAAAAACCTCTCACTGAAAAGGACTTGAAACTCAGAAACGACACTCTCTTGTATGTTTAAAACGGCACTCTCTTGTATGTTTAAAAGCCTCAATTCTGTATATATTACAAATTTTTATCTCAGCAACCTCTGTATGTTGAAACCTCATATTTATACATCCCCTGCTTGTTTAATAAAATCTTTATTCTGTTGTTGAAAGTTAATCTGCCTCAAGTGCCATTTCACAAGGGCAGCTCCTGTCTTTTCCTCAAGTTCTTGTACTGGGTCTAAAGCATAAACAAATATCTGTGACAGGGTGGGACAATTTAAGCTTATCAAACAAATAAGAAATACATGCTACTGAAGGGTGACTCAGCCACTGAAGGGAACTAAAAATATTTTTGGTGGGAAAATCTGCCTGAGAGTGGGGAAAAATCAGGGGTTTGTCGTAACAGGTTTATAAAGGACCAGTCCGCTATTTAGCTACCCTGATTCCAGACTGTTAAGACTTTAAGGTAAGAACCGGCATTTTCAGCTGAGTCTGCTGAGATGCATTCCTAATAACCTGCTCCAAACAATAGCCATGCTGCTTCATTTTTGGACCATCCAAAATTTTTGAACCATCTTCAAAGTGTGAAGTATGAAACATATCACACGTGGGTACTTTTGCTAGATCTTGCTCTACAGGAAAAGGCAGAACCAGTGAACCAGCCAAAGTTCATTAAGGTGCTACATGCACAGCACTGGATGATACTGGGGCCTCCATCTGTGAACACCAATCATGTAGTAACAGCAGCTAGAATCTTATTTGCAACTTTTTGGAAACTTCCAACAATACCCTCTGATCTATGGAAAGTGTGGAAATGGACAAATTGACCTTGATGTTAAAAGGGCAAATGGAAGAAGAAACTGTGGGCAGTCCCTAATCTAGCTATGCTA